CTGCGGTCACGTAAAGGCATGAGCCAACTTGGAATTCCAAAGATGGGACAAAAATCATCGTACGTTCGGCCTAGGCCACCTGCTGTCCGCTGCGGACATCTGCGTTCCCAGAGCCGGGGGAACATAGACAAACCCCCGTTCAACGGGTCCACGGGAGGCACTCTGCGGGCTCATCCCGGGTTGGCACGAGGCCAAACACACTTATGGACATGCATACGGAACTGAAAGCGGTGCCACACGCCAGCCTAGGTTACCAATTCCTAAGAGTACAGGTAAAACCTAATGGGGGCTGGGGGCCTTCAAGAGGAACGGAGGCCAAAGTCTCAAGTCGACGACGAGGCGACAGGGTAACGACGGTCGTACTTGTCTGCCGAGTGAGGTTCTTGGCTTAGCCTCACGCCATTCAGAAATTGGAAAATTGCAGGTACGTGAGAGTGATCAGCTCTCATATCCCGTGCGTCAGGTAGCTTCGTTGGACATGGTCCCTAACGAAGAACTCAAAAACTCAAAACTCTGAAAGCGAGAACAATCCGAAAGGATCCCTGTGATTCCAAGGGTTACACACACACGCGCTTCCCCGAGGGGAGGCATGGTTTTTTTCCGATCACCTGAAATACTAAGGCTCCAACAGGTTCCAATGAACCTCAAAAGTACTTCGGTCGCTCTGACCACGTTGAGGCGTTAAGCCAGCTTGGACCGCTGCGGTCACGTAAAGGCATGAGCCAACTTGGAATTCCAAAGATGGGGCAAAAATCATCGTACGTTCGGCCTAGGCCACCTGCTGTCCGCTGCGGATCTGCGTTCCCAGAGCCGGGGGAACATAGACAAACCCCCGTTCAACGGGTCCACGGGAGGCACTCTGCGGGCTCATCCCGGGTTGGCGCGAGGCCAAACACACTTATGGATATGCATACGGAACTGAAAGCGGTGCCACACGCCAGCCTAGGTTACCAATTCCTAAGAGTACAGGTAAAACCTAAAGGAGGCTGGGGGGTCTTCAAGAGGAACGGAGGCCAAAGTCTCAAGTCGACGACGAGGCGACAGGGTAACGACGGTCGTACTTGTCTGCCGAGTGAGGTTCTTGGCTTAGCCTCACGCCATTCAGAAATTGGAAAATTGCAGGTACGTGAGAGTGATCAGCTCTCATATCCCGTGCGTCAGGTAGCTTCGTTGGACATGGTCCCTGAACGCACGCCATGTCCCCCTGCTGAAGAACTCAAAAACTCAAAACTCTGAAAACGAGAACAATCCGAAAGGATCCCTGTGATTCCAAGGGTTACACACACACACGCACACACACATGTATATATATATATATGTATACACATACATATGTAATATATATATATATATATATACTGTTTTTTTCGCATCGCACAGATCGAGGACGCAACACACCTTGCCGGTCGTGCCCTTTCAAGATGGTTGTTTGCTTTGAACAAGGTGTGTAAAGGGTTGGAGGCCATTGCTATTAGGGTGGAGCCCACTGCTATTAGGGTGGAGGCCATCGCTTTTAGGTTGTCGGCCATCGCTATTAGGTTGGAGGCCATTGCAATTAGGTTCCTTTTGCTACTAGGGTAGAGGCCATTGCTAGTAGGGTGCTACTAGGGGGAGGCCATCGCTTCAATGTGTGCATTGTGTGCTTCTGATCCTGGGCAGCGCTCCATCCAAAGCCTGCGCGCATGGCCAAAGCCCCATACAGGCACTCGCCGCTGGATGTGGTGGCCTGGTATGGCAGCCATGTGCCGTGTACCGTGGCTGTTGATGCTGCGGGACGAGGAACAGACTATGGTCAACCACTTTCATGCGAGAAAAACCCTGTTCAATTTGGAGCCTGATGGATTTGTTGGAAGGAGGACATCATGTGAACCCCAGAAGGACTTTGAGGTCATTTTGCTTCAGCAGATTGCACCAAAGGCAAATATGACATGCGGCTTTTCATGGCCATTAATACTGCCGTGCTCTTAGAGCAACTGAGTGCTTGTAATTTTTGCTTTGCACACAGCGAAACGCTGACAAGTAGTTTCGTACAGGGAACTCTGATCTTGAGGAATGAGGATCAGATTGTGACAGCGACCTTGCCATGCTTCTGAGCTCACCGGCCCACTTACCTGGTACACCTGGTACACCTTGCTTCACATTCTTCAGATAGACGGTCTGGGCATGTCTCGCAACCGGGCCAATGGGGCCAACGCCTAGCACCCCAAACATTTTGGGTCAGACCAAGTCGGTTCCTTTTTCTGTCGATGCTGCCGAGCTGGAGTGTTTCGGATGAGGTCACCTATGATCATCCAGATCCTTCGATCGGTTGTGTTCAGTCCTCAGACTCAGAGGCTGCAGGACCTTCGGTGGACCATGTGGCCGAACAAAAGCGCCCCCCCGGTCGCCCACGTGCCACCGTGGCAGGTTAGCCTCCCCAGCTGGTCTATTCTCTTCATTTAATGATGGGTCCACTAAGGTCTTCCGCTTACAACCAAACATCTCACACCCTTCATACCCGGTATCACCGCGAAAACCAAGGGATGTTTAGTAGGGTTGCGGCGCATGTCGGTCTAGTCGAAAGTCCGAGTTCGTCATGTTACCAAGAGGGTCTCCCGGTTGAAAGACACATAGCCCTGAGTGTTTGAAAGACCCACCAGCTTCTCTTTTTTGTTGGAGAGGACACACACGCAAGAATTCCCTCGATTCGGACTCCTTTTTTTCGTTGGCGCACGGTCTGACCGTTCATCTGCAGCTCGTGTCAAGGCTGCCAGGCTTGAACATCATTGTTCCCGTGAATGAAAGTCTAGTTTCGCTGGCAAATCTAGGAGCCAAATCATTCGTGCCAGCGCTTCTTCAAGCAAGCTCCCTCCCACCCCTTTTAGGGGCGGCGGAGGGAGCTTCCTTGAAAATGCGCGAGCTATCCTGCGTCCATGTGTAGTAGCTTCAGTAGCTAGGAGCATGTTTAGTCACTTACTTAATTACGTAGGCGCCTACTTAATTAAGTATATAAGATATATAAGGGCGACTAAAAAGCTTTTTTGTGTGTTGGAAGCGGACGGTTGGATCCGAACATCGAATCCCCTCCGGTTGCGGACGCTTCGGCCCCGGATCCCAAGGTGATGTCCTCATATACCTCGTCTCCGGGCCTTGCCAACGTGATGTGCTAAGAAAGACTTCCAACCTCCAGATCACATGGCCAACCTCTAGCTCACGTCTCCAGCCTTGTTCGCCGATTTCGGGGCCTTGGAACCTTCCCCAACCCGCTTTGGCCTCCGGTGCCCTTGTGCCTCCATCGTCTTGGTGCCCAACCATTCGTCTTCCCGTGCATCCCAGGTGGATTTTGTGATTTTCCCGCCACGCTGGCTCCCAGCGGAGGGCACCTTCCGGCCACCATGGCTGGGTGGCCGAAGCCGATGCGAGAACAGTTGGAGGGGAGGAACGAGTGTGAGAAGAGGAACATAATATGAAGAACCTAGGTGGACGACCTAAGTAATCTCAGATGATGGCAAATGGGTGGGGGTGGCACTTGGATTGTTGAGACCGATTCGGGTGGTATGGCAGTTTGAGCAGGATGTTGGAGTTGTGACTTGACTGTGCCATTAACATGGGCTTACCTTGGACGGGTTTGGAGATTCAAAGAAGCAAATAGGTGCTTCAGTTGCAATGCTTGGTCTAATCTCCAAGGTTCCACAGGAATTGCATGAGCGAGTTCATGGGGCTCATCACAGGCGTGACGAGTTGGGTTGAGGACCTGGGTCCACCAAGCAACGCTGCGGCAACCGCCACCGTTGAAGTTTTTGGTGCAACGGAATGATTTGTAAAACACATTGCTAGTAGGCCATCGCTTGTAGGTTGGAGGCGATTCCTACTAGCAACGAATCCGAGTCCAACAGAGCTCAGTGTCGACAACCTTCGGCGCAGCATGGCCGATGCAACGGTCGCAAAAACGGATGCCAGCTACCGCCTCCAGGTAGCTACGATGCAAAGCCAGTCCGTTCCTCACACATGATGAGTACAGCTACTGTGCATTTATCAGGGCCATGTATGCATGGGGGGCCATGTATGATTGGTTGGGGGATGAACATCCTTTGGGTTGAGTAACTAGAATCATAGCGCTCACAAAGCTTCCTTTCTCTTTCAATCCGATGTCCGACGTTTGGATGTGAATCATAGCAGACAGCGACCGACCTTTGCTCCCAGACCTTTCTCGACCAACCGCGCTCCGAGGATAGCTTTCTCCCAGGTGCAAGCTCCATTCATAACCGGTCTTCGCCCTGGTCGAAGCTGTGTGACGCGCGCAGAGCGTTCTCAAGGGGGGACGGTCTCACACCGCTCCAGGTATGTGCCACATGGCCCAGATGCAGCAGCTGTGCAAAAGGGCACGGATTTGGATACCTCAAAACCTGAGAGGTGTGGAGACCCAGGTCTGGTAGGAATTGATCATTGGCTTGGTGCGCAGACGGGTGTTCGATTTGGATGGATCTTCTTTCACCTTTATACACACACACACACCGGCAACAAACGCTGCTCACCGACCGTAACGTGCCAGATGTTCAAGCCGCGCGCAGCTCTTCCTCTCGTGTTGACTCCCAACTGTTACAGTAGTACAAAGGAATCTGACACGCTCCATGCAGGGGCAGTGCGCATCGTAAGATGGATCGGTTGGATAGTGTTCAGAAGCTGACAGCTGGAAAGGTATACTTTCTTGCTTCTGCAGTTTTTCAGCAACAATCGGTCTCTTGACCTAAATGCTATAATATGCACTATGATCTTGTTTCATCAATCGATTTTATAGTAGTGTAGTTGCATACCTGCTCCTTGCTCCTCTCACAGACCTTTCACGGTCTGGTTGTTCCAAGGTACAGCGGCACCTTAGCATTTATGTGGGAGACACGCCTTGTGTCGAGCCGGCACATTGAAGCACACAGTTGCTTTTGTGTTCCTTGTTCCGCACCAAGCTTTTTTGCTCCTAAAGTGATGATAGTCTTCAAAGTCTCTATGATGTGGACTCGTTGCATCATGCGGCCATGCAGACTTGCACCAGGACCTGAGCAGTCAGAGTTGACGTCCCTTTTGAGATTCGTCCACAGCAAGTGCCGTCTTTGCAATAAACATCCGGTCCTGCCACACACTTTGTTGTCTTTTGCCCGATTCTTGAGTACTCGCAATGCGAACACAGATTGTCCTCGGCACTTCAGCTTCATTCAAAGCTTTCTTATCCTTCAATCGCAGCTCGGTTGGGTTGGAAGTGGCTTGCTTCAGCTTGATGGCTGAGGGTGTACCTGTTTGAGCGTCACGTTGCTTCCCAAGCACAGCAACGCATCATGTCCGCTGTGCCGATGCTCTGCCTTGGCTTTGGTACAGTTTTGCTCTTAAAGTGTCAGCAGTATTAAAGGCACTTACAAGATGAAAAGGAGCTTTAGTGTGAGCCAGTGGCCAGTGTCAGAAAGGCTGCTTCTAGCTGCAACATCCACATCCTCAGTTCTTGTTTGGAAACCTCTGTCGAATAGCCGCTCCAGCTCGGCTCTGGAACCAGATCAGATGTTGCCATGTGCCGAAGAGGTCTGTCACTTCGTGTCAGTCTGTCGCAGGTGGCGTCGGACGCAACTTTTCATGAACACGACACCTTCTTGCACATGGAGAACATATTTTTTGCGTCCCGCAAGCATGGAACACGTGAAGGAAACACACTGTGCAAGTCAGACCTTTCGCTTTGTGCCAGTCGGTGATCACTCTACACTTTGACCTCTTGTTTTGGGTCACCAGTTTGCCCTGCTTTTCTGTTGCTGTTAGGTGTGGATGGCATCACCAGCATTATCACCGAATCACTGTAACTGTAACCCTTTTTCAACTCTTAAGCGGGACTTGCGCAGCTTTCGATGAAGCGACTGGGGGTTGCTGATGAGGGTGTTATGCGTGGTCGACTTGATTGACATATGCCACTTGAAGGAAGTCTATGTTCTTGGAAACCAAGGCACCACGCTTGGAACATGTTGCCAGGCTGCATCCTTCAGAGTATGCTTTGGCCACCTTGCATGACGAGGACTACCCTGCAGCATGGCAGGATCCTAAGAGTGAAGACGCCACACGATCGTGGATGGCTTGAGCACGAAATTGCCACACGATTGCGATGTTCGCACGAAACCGATGGAGCGTCTGCGATAAGTCCAAAAAGGCACTGGCATTTTTTGCCTAGAAGAAAACGACGTTCCATCGTGCATCTTTGGGGTTTCGACGTTCCAGGCGGGGAGTGCAGAAGAGGTTTGATGCTGGTGCCAGTCCACCACCGAGCGAGCCGCCCTGGGCCAAGGAAAGAGCTTCCAAGGTTCCATTTTCGCAGCAACGAGCGAAAAAGCGGGAGGCCATTACAATCAGTAGGTTGGAGGCCATCGATATTAGGTTGGAGACCATCACTAGTAGGTTGGAGGCCATCGCTAGTAGGTTGGAGGCTTTAGTTGATGGGAGTTGGGAGTCCGCTGAGGTATGGGTTCCCACCCAGCAGATGATGTCTCAAAATGAGTGGACCCCAGACCCCCACCGCTCTGTTTAGTAGGGACATCGACTAAACCCAAGTGGATTGGGGGTTTCCTCATTTTGAGATGCCATCTGCCAGTTCGTGCCTCAGTTTCTGCGCTTCTTGAGTGGAAGAAAGATGGCAGTTGCCAACCCATCCGTGGACGATTTAGGCCATGGAGTCGCGGCAGCTCGGGGTGAGTCGAGGTGTGAGTCAAGGCTTTGCCAGGCCACAGGTCATTTTTCATGGCAGGTCATTTCTGTGTGGCATCAATGAGCAGTTGGTGCGACCAAGACCAAAACAAATCAATGAGGTCCCTTACAGAAAACAACATGTGGGCAAGAATAGAGATTGATATATGATGATGATGTGTTCTTTTGAAGCCTTTTTTGGGTTATAATTAAGAGCGACCCAAAGACAACGCCTTTTTTCTTTTGGGCCGGCCGTTTCAACGTGTACAGCTTCCTGACCTCCCTCCAGAGTTCAGGCGATCTTGGCCAACCTTGGGAGACCCGGATCCCACCCGGGACAACAGGAGTGCTTTTGGCCTCCAGGGAGGATTCCGGTCAGAGCAGAGGAGAGATGCCACCGAACGAGCTAAAGATATATCACAGCAAGTTGACAAAGCCGTTGAGTTGAGAAAGCCCACCTTTTGAGATCCAGATCTGACTTCCGAGCACCAATCGTATTTGGCTTGGCTTTTGAGGTCGAAGACACGGGTGCTCCGGCGGTTTCCTGGATTTTTTGGGGCACCGAGTTTGTATATGTGTTGCTTTCGCTTATTTTCCTTTGGAGACGTGGTTGAGTAGCTTTCGACCTGGAAGGAAAGATGGCCGAACAGCCAAGGGTTTGGTTGCAAATAATTGCAAACATACACCTGACCTGTCAGATATCATTTACCCAACTTCTGCAGTCCTTTGCACCTTTCTCTGCTCGAGTCTCCAATGGCAGGGCTTTCAATCTGTCCTGATTGGCACATTTAATTGAGACAGAAATGGACCGAGTCCGCGCTTTTCTTGCGATACTTGGAACTTCGAAGAGTTCGGACAACGATGGGACAACGATGGGACAAGACGCATTCTACAAGACCTGAATCGCTTGATTCATGACCCCTCTCTCTCTCTCTCAAAAAACGGCACATGTATGAAGAACACTGACGAATCACGATGCAGCCAACAGGCACAATTGTAGATCGCATGATGACTTTCCCAAAGCGAACACATAGGAATATGCGGTTGATTGCGGTTGTCTATGCGACACAACCACAATAATCGTAGATGACATATGTCGGAACAGTTGAACTCTGCAATATGGATTTACCACTTACTGGAACCTGTTCGAAAGGTTGTGAACTTGCCATTAGCCATGGAGGTCAACAATGCCAGGGTGGCAGAATCCACCTGCACCTTGGAACACATTTTGGAGAACTTTTTTGCACATCCACTTTAGCCATTGGTCTTAGCAGATGCAACCGCAGGTGACTGAAAATAGCTTCATTTTTTTGCGACAATTCCGATATGATCAGCATTAGGTGACAACAATGGTTCCGAACACTTGCACCAGGAGCTTTGCGATCTGCGCAGCTTTCTGGAATCACGTTTCTCACAACAAGAAAAGCTTCTGCAAAGTATGAATGAGAAGCTCCGTCCAGAGAAGCCAGACAGGCCAGACAGGCTCCTCGTCAATCCCATCACCCGGGATCGCTCGCGCTCGGGCACGTCCAATAGCCCTTCAGGTACTCCTCGGGGGCGGAGCGATCTGAAGGCCTTGAGCAAAACGATGAGCGCTGTCTTCAGCTCCGCGCCAACTACACAACCCCCGACCGTGCCACTGGAGAGAGTGATGTGGGAGAGTGCCCGCCCAGTGCGAGAAGCATCGAAAGATACGCCTCCCAATCAACGTCCACCGCGCACGTCCAGACTCTCCCTGTCAAGTGCGGCGTCCAGGTTCTCTGTCGTGTCAGAGGTCTCCTTGATCAATGAGTCGACCAAGGAGATGAAGCGGAAAGCGCGGAGGACAGAGAAGCGCTTGCGTGAAAGCCGAAAGGAGTCAACGTCCGACCCATCAACGGAGACGCAGATGAATCGCTTGCACTTCCACCTTGAGGCCCTAGTGTTTTCGCCCTGGTTTTCTCCTTTGATCACGCTCTTGATACTTGTGAATGTCATCCTGCTTGGAATAGAAGTGGATGTCTCTGCAATCACAACCTTGGAGGATATGCCAACCTGGTTTGGCACTGCCAATGCAATTTTTGTTGCCATTTTCGTTTTGGAGATACTTCTAAAACTGATCGTGCTTGGATGCAAAGACTTTTGGTGCGGGGAGGATCGCATGTGGAATGCATTTGATTTCGGAATTGTCGCCATCTCTGTGGCCGATGTCATCCTTGAGCTTCTCACACAGATCCTCTCATCGTCCATGGGAACTGGGCAACTGCGGTTGTTGCGTTCCATTCGCCTGGCACGGGCTTTGCGCAGCATCCGGGTGGTGCGCCTCTTTCGGCAGGTGGAGGCTCTGAGAACTCTCATTTTGTCGATTGTGAGCACGATGGGTTCATTGTTTTGGACCATGGCAATGTTGATCCTTCTCTTTTATTCCTTTGGAGTGGTATTTACACAGTTTATGGTGGAGCATTGCCGCTCCCCAACGGAAACCGGAGAACTGCCTGAATGTCCAGAGCTTCTTCGAAGATATTGGTCCTCCGTGCCTGAAAGCACCTTGGAGGCACTTATATAAAAGGAAAGAGTGCTTGCATCTCTTTGGCGCAGCTTCATAATGTCTCGAATCCAGAGTCAAGCGTGATTGAAGCAACAGTGCTGGTGATTTGAAACCTTCCTTCCCAGCCCTGGCTTCTTCCTATCATGTAACATGCTAAGCATGTATAGCTCTTCATCCACTTCTCAATCTGTGCCAGGTATGCTGACCCTCTTCATGGCCATGCCCTTACTCCGTGTCATCATGTGGAAAAACCCAAGCGGTCCGGCCGGGTCCACCCGCCGTTCCGTTCGGCGCCCGCGCCGAGGCCATTTCCGGGGGCGTGAACTGGGACGATGCCATTCGACCTCTAAGGGACATCTCCTCCATGGCAATGGTTTTGATGTCGATGTACGTCTTCATCACGGTCTTTGCTGCTTAAACGCTCCTTGGACCCATCAAGATGGGGATGGGTAGATGGGTGGTAAGCTCAAACGCGTGCTTAGGGGCCAGGCCATCATTTTGGCTAGCTTGCATGTTTAAAGTTGCTGGCAGACAGGTTTGCAAGCTATTTTGAACACAGAGTGCAACGAAGGGAACGGAAGCTACAGGAATGAACAAAGCCACCATGAAGAAAAATACATGACAAGCGTCTACTGCTACTGGGCCTGCAGCAAACGGTGCAATATTTTGTGCCAGCAATCCAAGCTTGACAAAAACAAACCCGTTGACCACTTCAAGAAAGGACTAGTGACTAGCCACAGAACTTTGGGCATTCTCATCATGCACAAAGGCTGATTTCCTCATCATGATTTGTTGCTGCCGTCATTTGCTCAGGTTGTTACTGGCGTTCCTGATCTGCAGAAAGACCGAGCTTTGTTTCACTTGTCATTCCGAAGCTTTCTCCTTGACACTATAGGTCTTTCTTTTCCACTCAGTTTTGTTTGGATGGATCATCGCAAGTGAGCAAACCAAGGTCTTTTGCAACACTGCCATCCAAAGTGCTCAAGTCGACAAAGATGTGGCGACCATCCGACAAGTCCACACCAAAATGCAGCAGGCAAGGCTGAACGGCGGGTTACGTATGGACGGTTATTTCCCGGCTATGCATGGATGTTCAGTCTTAAAATGTTGAATGGCTTGGGTGTCGAGGAAGGCTGAATGTTGAGGAATGGCCCGTGGCGTTGTAGTTTTTGCACATTTCTTTTGGCAAGTCTGGGAAATACACACGGTTCCTTCTTTTCACGGAAGCGTGAGCCGTCAAGCCTGTTGCGTTTTGCGCTTTGATTTGGCTGTGGGTCAAAACCCAAAGCCCTAATCAATCCCTGGTAGGTTGACCTCTCGTATGTAGTCTATTCTCTTCATGTATGAGGGGTCAACCAATGTCTCCCGGTTTTGACCAGCCATTTAAGTTTGGTTTTGTTCATCAACTTAGCTTGTTTGGTTTGTGTCTCTGTTTTCAGCGGCTGTTTGAGATAGCATGTCTCATGTGGTGCCTCTCGCATCTCGCCTCTCGCTTCCCGCCTCGCCTGAAAAGAACGCAGACTCGCCGCCTCGACTTGTTTCACTGAACGTCCAGGCAGAGGTTTTGAAGACGGTCTTCCAGGAGATAGATATCTGCAACTCGAACGAGGTCACCTTTCACGCACCATGGCACATTTTTCAATTGTTGAGTGCAACACTGAACAGATTTGCCCAACCTTGCGACGCTTTCAAGAGGTGTTTCCGCCTTCAACGACGCGAACAGAGCGACGCGAACATGAGGATGTGAAAGATGCGATCTCCACGCCGGAGTTGGCGGGCTTTTTGGAGTCTGTGGGCATCTCTACAGATGATGTATGGACGGGGCCGAAACGCCTGGCTTGAAGATTGATTATTTAGTCTGCAGAAAAGGTTGAAAAGGTCCAAAAAACGCAAGTTAGACTTCTCCATCAAGCTGGATTTCACTCAGCACGCATCTGGAGCTAATGCTTTCTAAGCGGCGTAGTGACTATAGAGAAGATCCGGAAAACCGAATCTGTATCCTCTGGTCGTAATCTCGTGCTTGCCTGGTGTGTCAGCCATAACCACTTGTCCTGATCCAGTGAGTTGTGAAAGGGAGAACGTTCGCTTCACTTTGTGCTCTTCATTGACAGGACGTTCTTCATGTTGTTGGACCAAGACCGGAGTGGCAGCATTGATTTGGATGAGTTTGTTTCAGGGTGCCTACAGCTCCATGGACCTGCCAAGAGCATGCAGATGGCAAAGATGAGCTTTGAAAACAAGCGACTTGCATTATACTAATCATTATACATTGGAAAAGGATTCAACAAGGACAGGTCACAACACGACGGTACGAATGGGTACCAGAAACATGGCAAATACTGGACAAGCCTCGAAACAAAAAGGACTTTTGATTCGGGGTGCAGCCTGGTGTATGTATGTACACACACACACCACACACACACACAAGCGGATCCATGTATTCATTGGTCAAAATGTCAGAACATGTCAGAACATGACATTGTCGACTACACTCTGTCGACGGTGAGTGCGGCCCAAGGCTGACGCGGCAAGCCATCAAGCATCTTTCGGAGGCAGGGCGTTTGTTTCCATCTCTTGAATAACACTGTGATTGTGGAGGGTATATTTTGGCTGAATATTTACTTTTTTTTGGCGGATATTTTTGGCTTGCTTGTGTTCTGGCTTCTGTGGCTTTGGGCTTTCTACTGGTTTTAGCTTTTGGTGGCTGATGTGGCTTTTATTGGCTTTGGCTTTTTGGTGGCTTTGTCGCTTTCGGCTCTATACAGTGGTCTTAGCCTTTATATCTTATCTGGTTGAAGGCCTCTGTGGCTGATGCCTTGCTTTTCATAGGATTTTGATGGCAAGGCTTTGATAGCTCCTTCTGTTGCCCTTTGGTCGCTTTTTTGGTGGCTTGGCCCAAGGAACACAGACAGGTTGTAAAGAAATACACACAATTCTGGGCCCAAGCCATTTTAAGGGTTCTTCTATATCGCCAAAGGAAGAACCAGACTTTCGATGACTTTGGTTTGCTCTTAGGGGCCCTGCGCCCTTCCTCCAACCCCCTCCAGCTCTGTCAAACAAGCCAAGCCAGCGAAACCAAAGGACTGCACTGCTGGGAACCTCCCTATCCGCCCCCCAAAAAGAACTCCCACCAATTTTGTTTTTCCTGCTGAAAGCTTTTGTCAATTCTGTTCCCATCTTGATGCGGGGCGCACAAGGGGCAACAGTCGAGTTGGATCTTATGGAGCATTCTTCCTGGCAGGACCTTCAGGGTATGAAACAACAGCTGAGTTCGGCCTTGCCATCGAAAGAGGTCAAAGAGGTTTTCTGAATCTGGCAACGGCTAGCTGGGCAGAAGTGAGATGCACGAATCAGCTTCGGCTAGCTGAGCAATGCGAGTTGCTGGATTCTGTTTTGTGGGAATTAGGCATGGCTGGTGCTTTTTCAATCTGTTTGTCTCTCAAACAAGGCCTAAGAAGGCCACATCTTGGGTGTGTTTTGGTCCAAAGCACCAACCAGCTCCGGCAAGGATCCGGGGTAGGCCGCCGTTTACCGCGACCTTTTTGGGTCCACGATGGAACGATCGCCTGTTTACTTTTATTTGCCTATCCTTCTGGCATCTCGGCTCCGTATGTCCTGACAGAGCTGCGCCGTTTTCTCGACTCTGGCATCCTGCTCGGCCAGGAACTCGACAAAGTCGAAGCTCTCGCCAAGTGTGGCTTTTTCAAGGGCACAAATTGAACACCGAGTGACCGAGTCATAGCTGAATAATTCGTGGGGAGTCCGGACTTGTTCGTTCGCTATTTTTTCGGACTTGTCAGATCATAGTCAGCCTGCTTTACCTGGATGTGACATGCATTCATACACTCCTGATTGACTGATTGGGTTTGCTGGATTGTAAGACCTGTAAGCTCTTGGGTTGGGAAGGAGTGCGTTGGGATTATACACTGATTACTGCTGTTTGAACCAGTTGTAGCTAGCAACTTCATGCAACTTCCATTGGTTGTAGCTGCAGACATTCACAGCCAAGGTCATTGCAACTTCTGTTGGATTGCAGCAAGCCTCGAACGATTCGAGCTCTTCGTATGGTATTTCCTTCCGAATCAAAGCAGTGCATAGTTCTTGGCTCAAGAGGAGCCTCTACACTGCCACACCATACGCAGCATCCATACCAGTACAAATCGCACAAGTCTTCGACAACCAGCTGGATTGCATGCCTTGCGAATGCACTGTCAAGAAACGCTTTGTTGATCTGTGTTGAATGAGCAAACACCCGGAGCCATGCCAAAGCGGCTCCTGGCTGAGTTTGAAGCTTCACATTTGTTGTCTCTCAATGGATGACACTTCCTCGACTCACCTTGATTCTGAGTCAGGGTAGACAATCCCTTCCGTGTCGGTGAGCCGGTCATGCGGGTTGGTGTAGACCATCCAATTCCTGAGGTCCAGGTTCACTCGCGTTGACACCCTGAGCGACGCAGAGTTGGATGAGAGGGAACGAGAATTGGAAACCGAGTCCTGGCAGAGAAGAGGTCATGGAACACCCAAGAGGTCCTGGCAGGTAACCGGATTGAACCGCCTTTTTTTCCACAGAGGAATCGTTGGAATCGTGGGATCTTCTCGGCAATTTTGTGGGGTGTGCATGAGTATGTGGATGAGATACGTTGTACATGTGAAAATAGACATAACATAACTTAATTGGACGTCCCTGTTTATCGTGATGCCCGCCGTCAAGGCACTCCGTCAACGGAATGAAGCGCTGAATTCCAAAAGGAGCGCCGAATTCAGCATGGCTGTGTATGCGAAGTGATTTAGAAGCTAGCAGAAGCTGGCAGACAAGAACATTGAGCTTTCCGTTTGTTTTGCTGGGCGTGAATTGAACAGAACTGAGTCAACTTTACAGACCGACATGAAAGCAAGTACTCGTAGCTTGGTATGTAGCGTAGTAAATAAGAGTCTACGGGACTCTTGTGCCCCGGAAGCTTGGCCCCACCAGCAGTTCCCAAAAGGAGATCGCGCGGTGCAGTCATTCCAACGATTGCGTCGCCAGGAGTTCCCTTGGAGAGAAGTTCACACCCTTGGGCGACCATCAGAAATTCAAGGCACGTGGTTGGCACAGCTTTTCTGTCTTGTTAAGGCATGTTCGCCTCGCTGTTCAATTCTGCCATTTCTCAGACACTTCATGTGACTCGAACCGTCAGGAGATGCAAAATTTCAAGCAGCTCCGAGACAGGGCTCCTTCAACTGCAATGACCCATATTGCTCTTCTCCTGCCTCAGCTTATTAGGGCGGTGCGGTTTGGCACGTTAATTATGAATCAAGAAGCGCCAGCAGTGAATTCCATGTAACAAACACCTCAAAGATGGGATTTCAGGCTTGATCCAATCCTAGAACCTCCTCCTCCTCCGGTTGAACAAACTATGACAAACTCCTGTGCAGAAAACCGCGCGGAGAAAAATCCGTGCCACGAACCGCTTTACAACATGATCCGCCCAGAGCAAAACCCCGTGCGAAGTGCATCAATGGCCGGATCTGTGAAAAACATCTTCCAAGAGACTTGTGAACTTATACAGACCCTGTGACTGGATTTTCAGGTTCCTACCGGTTTGCCAACATTTTCCTTAAGCTCTTCCCTTCCAGGAGTTTTCACCAAGAACAACCGTAACTGCCCACACCTGTCCGCCCTGTGTATCCACCATGACACGCCGCGTTTACACCAGCAGGTTTTCCTTCCTCCAATGGCACGGACTCACGCAAACGCACTTGCCACCGAGGTCGTGCAAAACCGCATGGCACGGCGACATCACCTTTCGAAAGCTTTGGTTGTTAGTCTAATGAAGAATCAGTATTCTAATAAAGGTTTTTGTAGGGGAAAAGGAAGACCCTTCGATCTGGAGGGTTTTGAATTTTTGATATGATTTTAATGAAGGATTTTATAGTTTTTTTCTGGATGACTTTTTGGGCTTGAAGCTCTTCACAGGTGACCCTATTTTGGACTCCCCCGATTTCAGGGACAGGCTCCCTCAAACATTCAGAAGCTGAACCGTCCCTCACGTGAGAACCGCCAAGAGTCACAGGGCCTGTATCATCCGGTCCACCTACTAAAAATAAACACGGGCCCCCCCCCAATAAGAGAAACTCGGTCGCATTTTTTTCATAGAGTTGGGTGCGCTTTTCACATAGACAAACACACCAATGGCATCCAATGGCCCATTGTTGTCACTCACCCCATTTTATGGCCAAACGAGACGCAACAAACACATCCGAAGACGCGCATCGCTCGCGCGATCGCTCTCAGGAAAGATATCTCCTCCAGGAAGTTCAGGAAGAGAAGCGCCGACGAGCTGAGAAGGCAGAGGCGCAAAGGGCCACAGCACCGCGGGGCGCCCAGAAGGAATCAGGGCATCCTGCGGTCTCTCGACCACGCAGGTCAGACAGCGTCGCAGGTCATTTGTGTTGGCATTTTTCCAGACACAGAACCTCAACTGAACATCTTCATTCCTCTCATGAATACCTTGGGATGACCTTCCACTTCCGGTCAAGATCACATGGTGCGGGAAGTGGTGCCCTTTGCGTTGGGTTTCACCACTCCCACGATCAAAACTGGCGCTTCGACGAGGGTGTGGCACACGGATCGGTTTGGCCGTGCCAAGGAACGCAGAGATGTCAGCGGCCATCGCCGAGTACTTTGCCAGAGACTTACAGACGGATCTTTGATTCCAATGCGGGCCGCATGGCTCCTGGAACTTTGCACGAGAGAAGATTTCTCTCTCTTAGACTATTGGAGTGAAAGTCGAAAGTCACCCCTGCCGCTCGATATTCCTTGCGAGTTGGACAGCAGTATGTAATTACAATATAAATTATGATCATAGAATTATAATTGAAATTGAATTGACTTCGAGTATTGTATGCAAATTTCTGTCTTGAAGCTTGACGCCGAGGCGCAGCAGAAGCAGTCAGGACCTGCCGAGAAGGCCGAAAAGGCTGCTCGGAAGATGTCTGCAAGCATTGCCAAGACAGCACAGATCCATCCTTCGTTGGTGCTTTGACAGCAATGGCGAGGGAGTCGGGAGACAGGTCCCTGGTTCCGCTTTTTCTTGGTCGAAACTGACCATGTGCAATCTGCCGCACTTTGAGAAATTCTCGTCATGGAATGGGTCGTCGTTTGCTCGATGCATGTGGAAGGCCAGAGATGTGATCCAGATGTGATCCATCACGAGCCAGATGAGCAACATTGAGCAACCCCCCCAAACCCGGGAGCAGATGTCCGTCCCGCTACTAGTAACAAGATGTCCGTTCTGCACTCGGTCCTCGGTCCGAGGCCAGTGTCTATGCAAATGCAGCGCCGGCGGCACCCGCTGCACCGGCTTCGGCTTTCGCGGCAGCGGCCGTTCCGCAGCAGGCTGGAAGGGGGCCCCCCAGGAATCAGGAATAGGATTGTGATTGGATTGGGCCCCCCCTTGGCACAAGAGCCAACGCTGCTTCTTGATCTCAAGCAAGCAGAAAAAGCAGCTAGGGCCTCGGGAAGACATTCGGAAGGCCTTGGGGGTTTGACTTGGGACCGGCACTGCTTGAGCGCAGGATGCAGGTGCCTATGAAATGGATCCTCAGCAAGCCGCAGCAGCTTGGAAGAGAAGCAAGGGATTTGTTTGCAGATCCCAAACAAAACAGCTGCAAAGTTGGTACCTTTACAGGTGAACATGAGCCTCGTCCTGGCCCTTCCATATTTGCCTGATCCACCCTTCGAGTAGGGTCAACTATGCTTCACGTGCAGATAGCCAAAGATTTCCAGAGATATCCAGATTTCACAAGTTGTTTCATGGCTGGTGAACTCCCACTCCCTGGAGGCTGTGGGCACAAAACCGGTCTCATTTTCGTCTAAGCTTTGTGTACTTGTGCCAAGAAGATCGGCTTAACATTATTAGATGTTCATGGATCTCTCGGAGAGGGTAGAGACACTTCTTCATCAAAAAGCCGTGGCACCAGGTCAGAAAGGATCGTAAAAACGTGGCAAAAACTCACATCAGCATGTCTTAAAGTGGGCTACTGAGAGTGGCCTGTGGTCCTCAAGTCCTTCCGATTTGCCCAGGCTGTCACCACCGTGCCCCCTGTGTCCACGTCCGCGGCGCCGGCACCCAGCTGGGCGGCGGTGGCCGCACTGCCCGCCGCCTTCCGGGCCCGGGCGCTGGCGACCATGGCCGAACGGCGCGCGTAGAAAACACGGGGGCGCTGGGGGGGGGTGGCGGGCCGCGCCGCGGTTTGTGTTGGGCCAGTGGCTGGCTCGTGCCGTGTTCATCCGTGCTCAGGTGCAGAAACGTATGGGGCTGAAATCATCGGTGTTTGTTGCGGGCTCGATTCTGATAAGGACAAGCGCTCTTCACACACTTCCCAGCTGCTGTGTTCACATTGCAAACACACACTGCCTGTATCTGCATGTGAGGTCCGTCAAGAATGGCTTTGATTGTAGACTTCACACCATCATCATTTGTTTCACAACATTGATTTCACAACTCATGAATTTACAGACATCGCTATCGGTTTTATGGCATTGTGGGACCAAATTGGGGGGGGTTGGGGTTGGTTGGGGATGGTTGGAGGGCTAAACGCACCTGATATCACTTCACAGTGCATCTTGTGAGACTGCTCTGGCTGTTCACGCTGTTGCCGTTCGAGCCTCAGAAAGGCATGGAGGCATCGAGTGAGGCAACTGATCAACCTATCTGACATGCGGACATGCGGTGTCTATGAAGTTGAAACATGTGGAAGTCGAAACCACTGACGAAGATCAGCAGCAAGGCAGTTGAGACCAATTCATAAAGCATACGGCGTGCCCGCGCCTTGCATGCATGATTTCTTTTCTTTAAACCAACTTTGGCCGCTGGCCTTACCGAACACAGCCACCGTGCAAACAAGCCGCTATCATAGCCCTGCACAGAATTCCTGGTTTTTGTAGCCCCGGTGCCAAGCTGTTTGGGCTGTTTTGCTCAACGTGCTGGGTCAGCCCTAGGTGCGGCCTTGTGAGGAGGGTTGGGTTCTTCAGATGGTCGAAGGGCTTTGATTCTGGACAACTTGATACATGATACATTCATCCATTCTGCTGCAATGATCGGATAGACTTTCCTCAGACGTTGGGTGCTGCCCAGATGTTGGTTCTTCAATCGCAGCATCGAAGCGCATCGAACGAACTCGGAGCGAGCGCAGGTTCCCAGCCGAACATCTTCATGGCGCCCAAGCATGGTGGTAGCACCGGAATGGGGAAGAATGCCCGGACCCGCAGATGCAAATTGTTGAGATTCATTCCGATCCCTTGTGTGACAGTCCAAGTATGCTCTCACTCACAAGGTTTATGTAAATGGAGAAGGAACATGACAGAATCAAAATCAAACACCTGTTTATGTCTGGCTCAAATTCCCCCAGCATTCTTGTGCGCTTACTTCTCTTCTTCAGCAATGCATCCTTGCATCCTTTGGCCGAAAGACTCAGCGGGTGAAAGACCAAGGCCCAGGTGCGTAACAAAAGTGCCAATCCCCAGCAGATCACTGCAGAACAGCTCTTGCGGGAGGCGCTCCGCGTAAACGCGCCGTCGGACGCGTCGGTCGGAGTAGAGCACGGACGCTGAAGAGCACGGCTGCCTCGGATCATCGTATTTTTTAAAAGAGTAGTGCTCAGAGCACCTGAATTGGTTATTCCACCTGGAGCACCTGAATGATGTTGAGAAAACAAATGCCCAGGGCCACCAAGGCCCAAGCCATAGAGGTCATAAGAGGGGTCCATGATTGCCATGATTCGTGGAGCCAGGCTGTTGATCGGCAGCAGGCCGAAGCTGTAGCTCCCAAGCAGCGCATCGCTGACGAAGACGAGCTCATGGTGCGCCAGATGTTCACGGTGTTCACACTTTCTAAACCTTAGGCACCTTAGGTATGTCTTTCGGCTTGGAAAAACAAACGACGAGAGGGGATGAAAGCAACTGCTGAAGGGTTCTTTATGACCAGCGCATTCTGGCTTGTCCGGTTGATTATACACCCTACCACTCTTTCCATTCTTTTTGATTCTTTCAACGCCATGCCATGCGTTCAACGGACCGAGTGGAACAAATCTGTCTGACTTGCCCATCTGGCCCAGATGTACAAAGTCCGGAAGAGGAAGGAGTATGAGGACGTGATTCGTCGACAAAGGCAAAACATCGGTTCATGGGTCGGGGACCCCCAGAGTCCGCAGAAAGAAGGCAACTACAGTGAAGACCTCCTTGATGATTTTCTTCCCTTGGTCATCATCATCTTTCAATGAGGCATAAGCAAAACAGTCTTGTTTGATGCTCGTCTACTTGCCCTTACGACCTTTCCAAGTCACCAGGCTGAGGTGTCCAGATGGGCCCCTTTCCACCAAGGTGAAGTATGCGCAGTGGGAGGCCTCTCAGCAGGACTGCTCCGGTGCATAGACCCAAGGCTGCCCAGGTTGCCCGCCCTAAACGGACCGAATCCGTGGACCGAATCGACCTGGTCGTGTGTCGTCGTTGGTCCTTTCGTGGACCTGTCTTTGGATTGTGTTGGGAATCTCCAGTTCAGAGAACGGGACATTCAGACATGTGAACCTTTGCTCGCATGACTGAACGGAGATTGAAATGCCAGGAATTTCGCCGTGCTCGCTCCATCTTCGAGCGAGCCCTGCATGTAGAGTGCCCTGTGGAATCCTCGAGCCATGAGTTGAAGCAGTGTTGATTCAGTTGATTCTTATCAACACTTGATAGACAATTGATTGCTATTTTATGCTATCAAACGATTCTCAAGTTTTGCATAGACAACTTGATTCTCAAACCTTGATCGAGAAGAGCTTGACTATGCTCACAAGCGATAGGTACCAGAATGTGAGCCTTTGGCTCAAATATCTCGAGATGGAGATGAAAAACAAGTTCGTGAACCATGCGCGAAACTTGTTCGATAGAGTCCCTCAGCCTCGCTTGAACATGCTGGCTAAAGAGATGGCAGCTTTATTTGTGCATTGCTTGTGAGAGTTGTGATCATGGCATCTCTGAGATTCTGCCACCGACGCCGAAAGCTCAAAAGCCAGGTGGTTCAGCTTCTCCCCAGGCAGGCGAAACGAGATGTATGGTGGAGCTCTGTTAGATGTTCCAGTGGTACATGCTGAATTCTTCCAGCAAAGCGATCGCCGTTGTCAGAAGCTCCCTTGTCAAACAGCAGATGCGTCACAAGCCAGGGTGGACCAGTTCTGGTACAAGTATGCCTACATGGAGGAGTTGTTGGCAAACTATGCAGGGTGCCTTTGACATGTTGGAAGAAGTTCAAACGTGTCCTCGAGGGCTATGAAACTGGACGCCTGTAAGAGATATTTGTTCGCACAAGGCAACAACATAATGGATACGAGACAACTGCTTGGATAGGTTGTTGGGGATTTGTATGACCCCAGGTCCAAAGGTGATGTTTGTTTGTTTGTTTGTTTGTTTGTTGCACTTCAGTCGATCAAACACCAATGCCAGGGCGCGGACCATCTATGAGCGATGGATGGAATGGGAGTTTGGTCCTCGGCAACCTTTCAAACTCGGACCTCCTGTGCATTCTGCCAAAAAGGCGGCACTCGTGAGGAAGGAAGACTTTGATGAATGGGATGAAGTAGACTATTTTCATCAATTTTCCAAGTCAAAGACCAGTGGTTTACAAGTGTTCAGAATCTACTTTTGTCCAAGGCCCGATGACAATCCCTGGCTTCAATACGTGAAGTTCGAAGAAAGGCCAGTGCTGTTTGTTGCTTGTGCCAGCTCTTGACCTTTTCATAGACGATATAGTCCTGCAAAACTGGACATGCTTCTTGCAAGTCATTGGCAGTCGGCAGTCACGAAGCGCTTCCCGTCCCTTTTCGCTTCGCACGGTCAGCGCTTCGCTTCCCTGGGCCGAACTGGGGTCGAGGACGCGATCGTTCACACTGCACTGCTCAACCAAGCCAGGTGTGGAGAGCTGGACAAAGCCAGGAAGGCGCTGAAGACGCGACTTCGGCGCCGGCGCAAACGGATACTGTAGATGGTTGTTTCTTTTTTTTGGGGGCAGCATAGCCACATCGACACAGATCTGGAAAAAGATGTCTTGCACACATGTTTCATGAACGGTTTTTGGATTTTCTACTGACTTTGCTTTTGCTTGCGAGAAACATGGAGAAACTAGAATCCCCTCACCTGGTCGCATGGGGGGGAGCTCCCCTTTTGCTTTTGGTCCCTGACCTGAGACATCTGATATCACTCGCCAGGTCTTGGAGCGATATGTCAGCTGCCGGCCCACGCAACAGGTGCCGCAGCTTTCGCTGTGAGAACTGTGGCTGCCGGGCGCTCCCCTCTAAACAAAAAGGAATACCACCCACTCACTGGCCTGCGCCAGGAACATAAAGGAAAATTAATTCAAGCCTGCTGGTGTTGTGGCTCTTCGTATTTTGAGCTAGATCCATGTAGCGCCAGACCAGCTCTAGAGGCATATCCAGGTGTAGCCATGTTCTCCGGGCGACAAGCCAGATACAGAGATGATCCAAACATGGTCGATAAGAGCTTCAGGTGACACTTTACGGTCGAGTACATGACAATAACTGCCTATCATTCATAGCTTTTTTCTACGAGACATCATGTAGTTCTCCTTTACACTTGATTTGCCCCTAGGTTCCCAGGTCATGCGGATCAGAAAGGGACTCAAGTCCGCAGAATAGACCTGCACCAAGGGTTGATTTGCCATATTCCAAACGATCACCTTTCCCACGACCCGGTGATGTTTCCAAAGAGGCATTCTTGCGCCTTTGCAAGTTCGAAGAGAAGCACAACAACGCAGCGACCCGGCACCATTTTGCTCAGGCTTCCAACACGTTGAAGCCGAAGCAACCTCCCATGGATAGACTGTTTGAACCTGCTGGACGTTCGCCGCTTCAGTTCCTGCCAACCGTTGCGGCCCTTTGCAGTGGCCTTACTACTGAGGCCCGGGCACGATCGGCACCTCTGGCGTGTTGCAAACAGAGGGGTCGACCGACCAGCAAATGCCAGATCTATTCCTGTCCTAGTCTGTTCCCTTTTTGTTCCCCGACGGTACTTGGTCGACCGACATGAAATTTCTGACGGAATGTTCGATCTGGACGAGCCGGACGGTGCTTTCTTTCTGACATCCAGATGATCCCAAATGTCCTCATTTTTAGTGCTGCAATGTCCAATAATATGAATATGAATGTCATTGAATGTCATCCATTGCTTGGTTTGTTTTGAATCTATTGGACGCCCTGACCACTGAAAGAGCCAGCACTCTTGAGAAGAAACAAGTGGATCCCTGCCAGGGTTTTGAGAAGTCGGTGGAGCTACTGGGCAATGAGCTGGATGAGAAGCGCATTCCCCAGATCAGTTACAGTATCTTCTGATGAGTTGGTTGAAAAAGAACAGGTCAACTTCCAATCAAGGGATGTTTTTGCCGGTGTGTGAATCTGGACGTGTCGAGTGGTGGGCAGAACCCAGTACCTCGTAGGGTCATGATGAGGGGATCAACATCGTGTTCGGTAGGCTGAGAATTTGATGTTGCGCGTTGCCTGAGTTTTTTTCATCTCACCTTTAAATGAATGTGAGCTGTCCGACTTCTCATTTTTGATCATTTCCTGGATGAGAGACATGAAGATGCTTCGAGGTTCTACATTAAGTTTGCTCAGTTTGAGCAACGGCAGCGAGAAATGGAGCGAGCACAGGTGCAAGCCTGGTGTGGAGGAGGATAGGGAGAAGGAGGAGTTGGAGGAAGAGGATGAACAAATCCAAAATCAAATACCGGGAGATGAGGCAAAGATCGACAAAGGTCCCAATGCAAGAGAAACACATCGCATGGTTTTTATCAGCTTTCTTTTGCCAGCTTCTGTGCAGAGGCCATCTTCAAGCTGGCTCTGGATATTCTGCCGAAAGGCCAGTTGATCAGGGGAGAGCGGGGTGACCACACAGAGAGCATCCCTCACCGGCATCCGGTCATTCCTGCTGCTACATGGAAATGGTTACTGGACAAGAGTAAATTCCAAGACTGACTTCAAAATTCGAAGAGGCAAGGGTTGAGCAGGATCTTTTCAGGGGCTTAGTTCCACTTGGATCCAACTGGGCGTTCCCCTCAAACAAACCTGCAAGCAAAGCACACGTGTTGAACCAGCTGCAGTTTAACTGCCCCTTCAGCCTAGGTGCCAGCGATGAGCTCTATCGCGCATATGTGTCTTTCGAGAAGCAACACGGTGACAGGGATGCCATTGAGGAGGCACGGTGGGTGTGTGACTTTTTCCGTGGCGAATGGCCTTTTTGAGGCGATTTTTTGGCAAAGACCCAGTTGGTTGAAGCATGGGCAAGTAGAGAGTGGATCGAGTGACTGCCGCGCATGAGCATGAAACCTGCGGCACCATCTAGTTTCTGAGCAGATACTCAAAGATACAACGGAACGCTGGGAAAGAATCGCCAACATTTTGCCTCAGCCGCCGGTTTGAAAGAACAGCCTAAACTGCTTTGAGTCCAGATGTGCAGCAGGTGGTCATCAACAAGAGGCGCTTCATCTACGAGGAGCTCTTCAACATTTCACGATTAAGACTGCAGATATTGTAGACAATTCCTTTTGTGAAGGCTTTACCTCTTTGGTTTGCAAAAGTACTGCAGGAAGCTATCGCCAAAAATCAAAGGAACTATGATGTTTGGCTGGACTCTCAGAGGACGCGTTTTTGATCAAAGATGTGTCTAGAATCAACAGCAGATAAGTGCAAGTCTTTCAGATACATCAGCAACATATGTTCAACGCTACAAGCGTGAAGACATGATCAGAAGCAGCAGGTGAAATTCTCTCTGAGGTTTGATTATGTGCGCTTAGAAGAGAGCGTCGGCGACGTAGCCAGGATACGTGAGGCAAGCGGTTGTACACACAGAGCAGGCTTCAACTGTCTAAGTTTAATGTCCACTCCCTTTCTTGTTTCCGTGTACCAGATCCGAACTAACATGAAGGGCAAGAATTTGATTCAATGTTTGCGTCTGCTCAAGAATGCTACAAGTCCCAACGCAATCTTCGATGTTGGTCGAGCGCAAGCTACCAGACCTATGAGCGTGCTGTTGCCAACAAGCCGCCTGCAGGGAACCCCAGCCATCTCAGATGGTGAAGGCAAGATGTCAGATGGATTCAGATGGTGCTCGCCCAAAGCAATGAACATTTTCCGCAGGAGGTTCAGAGGTTCACGTGTTTTGCATCTTCAAACGGCTTTTCTTGGTTTTGGAACAAATCCCACACCTCCCGAAAACGACCAGACCGGTCTCGCGAGACCCGCGGCTCCGGGTCCGTGGCTCGCCCGATCACGCGTGGGACGTCAGTGGTCGCGGCCGGGTGAGGTGATGCAGAAGCGCTTTTGGAGGCGGTATATCTACCTGTGGCATCTTGGCAGCGCTTTTTTCTAGGCGCTTTTGGAGAGGTGAAGCTCCTGGGACAGATGTGATTTGGGACAGGTGGCAGAGAGGTGAAATCCTTATAACTTGTAGAGTTTGAATCGAGTCATATGGATTTGCTGAGGCTCAGAGTGATTAGAACACTCCCAACTCCCCACACTCCCTTGTTACAGTATAGGCAGATGGCAGGGTCTTCGTGGTGTCTTAAACGATCTTAAAAGCATGTCTGACTAGAAGCTGCTTTACATGGCCTGTCTTCACATGGCGCGCCATCACTACAGTTAGACGCAATCAGGATATACTATGCGCTGTTCGAGGACTGCGGGACTATGCATTGATACCTCCAAGTCGTCTCAATATGCGCTTTCCAAGTCAGGCCGGTGAGGATTGAGAGACCAAGTTGTCTCAAAACACTTTAAAGTGTCCATCTCCTTCACAAATCCAGTGTGATGGATAGAGGACAACTTGAGACCAAGTGTTTACCTGTCTACCTCAATCCCACACACTTTGCAGATCGCAACGGGTCGATGATTCATCGCCTTGTTTGGGTGAGAACGCCGCCTCGGTTGCTTGATCAACGGCTCAGCCTTTTGACGGCTCAGAGAGACGGTCGCGCGCAAGCGGAAGCGGCAAGGGCACGGGTGACGTTAAGCGGCACGAAAAGCGCCGTGAAAACAAAAGGAGCCTTACCTCACAAGGACGGTATTGGAGCCTTTGCCTCACTCCTGCTGACCCTCACAGGACGTCCCCCATTTTGGAACACCTGAGTTCGAAAAATAGCCGCCACTGTCACAGACATATCAGATATCCAAACAGTGCATCGATTTCGCATCGCTTTGATGGCGCCACGCGACCAGCAGGATGGCAGCCACACAGCCACCTGGTCTTGTTTCTTTAAATCACGGCTTTGGTTTCACCTGCTGATGGCATCCTCAAAGATGCAGTTGTGCAGTCAAAACCATGATGCAGGAGTTTCTTCGGGAATCGATGCGTTTCGGTCAAGCAGGAATCCTGCTTGTCCTTAACCTGAATTCCGGTGATTGAACGAGGTACGTCCAAAGGAACCGGTCCGACGAACCCACCGCGCCCAATGGCCGCGGGCGTCCGGAACCGGTCCCGGTCCGACGCGTTTGGCGCTTCCGGCGGACGCTCCGAGTTCCGCAGGTCGACTTGAGACGGGACGACTTGGATCCTCAGGTGCCACTTGACTGCAGCGGATCAGCACGGATCCTCACGGATCCCCCCTTCCAGCTGATGCCTTCGCGTCCTCGCTTCACGATCGTGGCGTCGTGACCTGTGGCGCTCGCGCTCGCTGAGCGTCGTGGTCTGAGGAGTCAGGGATTGCTGGCGCAAGCGTTCCAGCGGCCGTCGGAAGCCTTCCAGCTCTTGAGCCATGCGCCGTCGACGCTCGGACGAGAGCTGTTTTTTGGCGGAACGAATACGAGCTCGGCAAGAGCTGAGAGCCTCCAAAAGACGAGGGTTTTGGGAATGGGGTGATTTAGCTGTTTGGGGGTGGACGAATGGACTATCAATCCTTTGAACCCATTCTTTTTTGGACACTTGGGAAGAAGCTAAGGACTCGCCTTCGGCCCACTGTGCTAGGTGCCTGGGCCGCATCCCCCACTTTTTTGCGGTATGTTACAAATGGATATGTTACATTCTTTGCAACACCAGCTCTCCGTGGCTCTCCATTGCGAGTTGGAGACTTGGAGGCTACAATGCTGTGATGTCGGCATGCTCGCGACAGCAGAGTTGGCGTGAAGCTTTAGAGACCATGTGCCCAGGCTGCCAACCTAATGTGAAGCCTGATACTCATAGAAGCAAGACAAATAGAAAGGATGGGTTGACTATATACTATATATTGCCTCAACCGGTGTTTCAAGCATACGGGTTTGTACGAATTGAAGGTCTCAAGAGTGCTACAAATCAATGTCGCGCTCTTTTTCGAAGCTCGTGGACCGCTGACCTTTTGAGCATTCGATTGACTTCTTTTCCATTCTTTTCCTGCAAAGACGTCCTCTCTTGGCTGTGTTTGGATCCCGTAGTCTCAAGGACCGTTTAGCAACCGTTGGAGCTGTGACCAGACAGCCCGAGTTTGGCACTAAGGAGCTTTATTGAGAGGGATGCCTTACAGCCTACGATCAGAAGCTTTTGGGTTGCATGACTTTGATTTTGTGTTCACAGCAGACAGACCTGCAAATCAGAATATAGCAGTGACACAGCTCTTCAGGCTTACAAGGCACTTTGCCAGCCAAATAGCGATGGCCTCCAACCTTAGGTTTCCCTAAAAATCTATAAACCAAATAATAAACACTTATATAATTAAGTATAGGGAGGAGGGGGAGCTTTGTTTCGGGTCATTTGAGTCGTCTTCGTCTCCACCCCCGACAGCCGCAGCTGAAAGGCTTGGGAGCTGTTTCTATCGAAGCACTTGAGCGGGATGGAACGAAATATGGGTGCATTGTTTCTAGACCCCAACTTGAAGTATCTAAGCTACTCCACGTGTTTATTGTTTTCTCCGGCATCTACAGTGAACCTCTGTGAACCTTTGACATTGTCATGCCTTTTTGAGCTTACCTTCACTTCTTACCTTCACTTCTTACCTTCACTTATGGCGAGCTTTTTAACTCCTCGTTGGAACCACCGTCGTCCCCCGATGACAACTTTCCCCCTGGAACGGTGGAACTCTATGGTATTTCCAACGGGACATCATCTTCGAGTTGTCCCAAGTCAACGCATGTTTGGTCACTTTTGGGTTTTGTCCCGCAAAGCCAATGACACCTGCAATGTATCCTTTGCTTATTTTTCTTGCACCAAAGTACTTTTCTGCAATTCCCTCAGCACAGACGCACGAGCGTGCTGACAGTGTTCTGCTTGTGTGTGTTCAAGGTTTCAATGGCTGCCTCAGCGCCTACGCGAAAGCACGCCATTGGGCGCGAGCCCTGCGCTTGCTGGATGAAATGCCGAAGCGCCAGGACCGCAGGGAGATGGACGCTGAGGGGTACGAGAGGAAAATCCTCCTGGCAGAGTGAACACATTTTTTGAAGTAGGTTGAGAAGGGGCATTGCTTTTTGACAATACATTTTATGTTGGCATCCTGCCACAAAAACCACTGCTCAACAAAGCAGCTCTTACGTTTTGAAAGCCCACTGCTCAACAAAACTCGGGTTGCTGGGAGTGATGGTTTTGCCCCCATGTGACTGGAAAGAATCCGGAGTTGTACACTTGATTGATCTTGATGGTTGTTTGGGTTGGACATGGGCAATTCTTGCCCTGACAGGCCATGAAAACCCTTGCAAAGAGGGGTTTCTGATGCATCCCTCTTCCCATCAAACACCCTCATGCCGTCCCTCCAATTGCCATCCCAACCGGGTTGGTCAGTTCGTCTATGCCGTCCATCCGGAACCACCGATGGATTGGTCTATCCGTATATCGTCCTGTGGAGCTGGGCGCTCCCGTCCTGTGGAGCACCGGGACCAGGTGCGGCCCGATTTGATGAGCTTCAATTCCACATTGTCGTCCACCAAATCCAGCTGGCAACAGGTGCCGCTTCCCGCGTCCCGCGCGCCAGGCGCACGCGTGGCGTGCGTGCCGTATTTGTCCTCTTGTAGGCTCGTAGGCTCGCCTTTTGACATGACATTTGTGGAGCTGCGTATCATGATTGTTCTGAAGACCATCATTGATTCAGAGCACAGGCTCGTAATCAGTTATTTCACTGGAGATCGCTTAGTTGCGTTTCACAGACTATTGACATTCTCTCCTTCTGGTAGATTTGCAAGTTCAAAAGGCCCTGGACCTTTGGTTTGTATTTTGACCACAGACCAGATCTCGGAGATTCTGATACTGTAGATTCATTCTGTAGAGACGATGAACATGATAAACTCATTCGCTAAAAGAAACAAACCATTCTCTATCCATGAACAGGTCTGCCGGCTCTTAGCATCTATGGAAGATCAGAAGATGCTCCCTGAAGCTCGGCACAGATGTGTCCCAGCGAAGCAAAGATGCCTCCCTTGGCGAAGGATGGATCCTCCTAACATCATGAGCTCAGGCATATATATATATATGACTTGCTATCATAAGCCACTGAGCATGCGAGTTGCTCAAGCTCTTTGGCTCAAAGAGCGTATGCAGTGGGGGGGCTTTTTTGGAGGTCCTCAGGGAACTCCGTTTTCTGTGGCCTTCCGTTAGCCCCTGCACTTGCCCGTGGGGTTGGATCCTCCTGGCCATCGTGGTGACCTTTGGCTTTGGGTGCTGCTGCGGTGCCTTGGTGGCCATTTGCGCCTGGTCGCACTCCTGCCGCCGCGGCCTGAGGATCCTAGGTTCGCTGCTGCTCTCCAGCTGGGTGCCCGCCGAGGTGGTAGGTCAGGAAGTGACCCTTCGGAGACGGCTCAGCCAGTACCGCGACACCAGTGCATGAGCACTCCTTCTGAGGCTGACGAGCTTACGCTGTCTTTCGCTGGACTGCGCATCCGGATCGGCCGAGAAGGCCAAAGCGAAGCTGCTGCAGAGGAGAGTTCAAGCCTCTCATCGTTCTCCATAGTAAGGTCCCCCACCTCGGGTGCCCTTGCTCGCCCCTCTGGGGCATCAGGCTCTCCCGACGAAGAGCTGCTTGGATTTGGGGCCACCGACTCGCACTTAGTTGAGGCACCTATCCAACGACCCTACGGAAGCCCTGCTTGGAGGAGCGCCTTGCTGAGCGCCGTCACCCCTGAGGACTTTGAGAGCCTGGATCTATCTGGTGCTCGCCACCTGTTCTCGAGGTTGAGATCATCACCGGGAGGCTGGACTCCTGCTGCTCGTATCGGTCGAGCTCTCAAGTGTGGTGTGGTAGCGCGCTGCCACTTGGACCTGCAACCGACTCAGGAAGCCGTCGTGCCTGGCCTGCCCTTGACCAGCAAGATTTTTGTGGTTTTGAGGGGAGCACCTGGTCAACCTGCTGGGTGGACTGATCATCAGCCCACCTTCCGGGCTGCCACTCAAGGGCGGTTCGATCGAGCTCACGCGGACGCAGTCTGCCACGGCTTCGCTTCAAGAGCAGAGGGCGAAGCATATTGCCTGGGAGCTGAGCGAGTATGGCGCTTCTGCGGCGGCTGGACTGACCGAAGGGTCATTGCGGGCCCTCTATGGGGGCCGAGCGCCAGGCGGCGCATTGCCAAACCTGTTCGTGCGGCTACCGCCTCGAGCAGATGGCACAGTTTTGAGAGCGCAGTGCACGCTTGTGCGTGTGAGAAGTGGAGGCTTCATGGTAGCGGTTCCGGACCTAGAAGATGTGGTGCATTTTTTTCCAAGAGCAAGAGCTCGAGCTGGATGGAGG